CTGGATTAAAATGCTGAAATCACGTGACTTTACTGGCCATTAAACGGTAGTATCGACTTGTCTAATCACCCATTTCAGAAAAGTGAAATTTAAATGAAATAAACACTGAAATATAATTATTTGTACATAGCTAAATGATATTTAAAATATGCTCTTACTAAACAACCAAATGAATGTAACGTAATATGGTGTGAAATCCACATAAAATCTGGTACTGCATTTCGTTACAGAAAAAATCAGAAGTGACAAATCGTTTTTGTCTGATTATCGTAAGTACATGCATCTTACATTACATCTTACATAATTACTTTATAACTTTCAAAGAGAAACACTAAATTAAATTGACACTTTATGTGTAAATTTTGCCAAAATAATCAAGAAATGTAACTGAAAACGGAAGATAATATCGACGAAATAAATAAATATTGTAAAGAAAAGTTTAAATCACATATATACAAAAAACTTTCTTTCTGGGATAGACATTTTTCAACCTTGTCGGTTATCTAATAACAAAACTACGCAAAAAGGGAAATGTTCATGTTTTAAAAGCTCTTAGCATAAATTATAAATTCAAATTAATCATTTCATAAAAAACTCAAAATATAATAATACAAACATATCACCAAATATAAACCTTTGAAATTTAACAACATAAAAAAGTAATATGAGCGTCGTCACGACAAACCAACAATAATGGGTTTGCGACCAGCATGGATCCAAACAAGCTTTGCGCATCCGTGCAGTCTGATCAGGATCAATGCTGTTCGCTACAACCCTACTTGTAACAAGTAGAGAAACTGATAGCGAACAGCATGGATCCTGATCAGACTGCGCGGATGCGCAGGCTGGTCTGGATCCATGCTGGTCGCAAACCCATTATGGTGGTTTTGTCGTGTCCGCGGCTCATATCATATTCTCATAAATCAATTATAATTTCATTGAATGTTTCAAGACGCAAAACATAACGATGTTGACTCACACGTCAACTATTTGTTGGCGTCAGTCATAAATTTCTTTGTGATTTCTATCATTAAGGCACAGTTGGTATAGCATTAAATGTAACACCGTTGTTTTCCACTGTCTTTGTACTTCCATCGCCGGTGTTCCTTGACGATTTACATTTGATAAAAATAAATCTCAATTCCTCCGTCATTTCAGACCAAAATGTTTGCTGAAAATATCAACTGACAATATTTTATTCAGGAATCAAATATTAAATAACAAATAATATTTTTTAACCAGCGTTTACGATACTGAGCGATGTTCTTTATACTTATTGGTTATTGATCTTCTTAATTGATTGCAATCACTTTCGGTCCTAAGAAAAAGGAGAATTTAGAAGTTGACTTTTTATTTCATTCACTTTGATTATAGTTCCGATTGCCTGCTTTTTTAATTTTAAAAACATTATAATTCAAATTCTGAAAGTGCTACGGAAAGGAATGAATGTTTTATCCGGTTAATTAATTACTTGCATATACTAATCATTGTAATCAAATGGATTCGAGTATAAGAGTATATTAACATAAAGAAATATACCTTGTCAACTCGTGCATTTCTGCTCACTTTCCAAGGAATTTCAAGAATAAGCCACAAGTGGCAAATATGAGCCACCCTAACAAAACTACAAACACACCTCCAACATTAGCCACACCTAAAGCATTTGTATTTTTACTCTTTTCTTCCTTTTCACAAACAATGTCACTTTTATCAACCCACCTGAAAAATCATATTTGATTCCAAAAGTGTAATACAACAATATATTAATAGGTGAACATTACATAAATTCTTTTGAAAAAAATTATAGAATCTATTACAACAAAATACAAGTCTATTCTATAAAATTTAATTTCGTTGAAGTGAAAAGATGGCTTTATGGATAACATTTCATTAGCACAAGTCAAAACATGACATGCACAAAAATGCATTAATATCATAACTAAGTCATCTACAAATACGACAAATATGAAGGGAAAAAGCAGATTTTTTAATTGAATTATGTTGATATTACATGATGTTATTCCATGTCAATGGTAAATGTTTCAAACTGTAATAGATATTCAATAGTTTTGCCGTTATAGATTTTTACCATAGAAACGGAAGTAGCATTCCGCGCATGCGCATTCTTAGTGCGAAAAAGCAATATCGAATGGAACAGGGCTCATAGTTTTCAAGTTATGTTATTTCATCGTGTAAATTTAAATAAAAATAAAGCATATGTTTTAATATTAAAAAATGGCAAAGCATTCGCAGATATATGCAGATGTTAAACATACCATTTTGTATAAAACTTAGACAAGATTTGCTGTTGTTGAAGATTCACAACTTCTTTTGATATAATTGATATCCATGGAGAATCTGAAATAGAATTTAGGCTTATCTAAATCAGTCGAAAAAACACTTCATTTTATAAGATTCAATTAAACATACTCTTCATTTCAAGAGTTTAAAAACGTTACTTACCCTTTATTTTCTTTACATTTTTAAAACAATTTTAGTTGTTATGTAATACAGACAAAAATTACGCTTTTATAAGGTAAAAGTGAATTTGGCGGTAACTTACAACCGACGGCATTCCTTTATCATATAAATTAGATAATAAAAGTAAAATTCACATATTAACAATAATTATTACGAGTTATATGTTAAATTACTAAGATATCAAACATACAAATTTATGGTGGAATAGAAGCCCTGAACGTCTAAAACATACATAAAGTGACATTATGATCATTTTCCCATTATCAAGTTGAACTGAATTGACTATATACATGTATTTGAAAAGATTGACTGTTTTAATAAAGTTTATTGACAAATGCTTGAAATTGAAAACTCTCAGGATACATATAAATCTGCATAAAATATACAAAGACAGCCCCTCCCTTTTTATAGATTAAACGATATAGGTAAATTCGGACGGATATTTTGTTTGAAATATACTTTGGTCACGTGTGTTATTTATCGTTCATGCGCAGTAGATTATAAAATTGAAAGAAATTATGGCAAAACGTTAACTTATTTTAACTTTCACCTTTTCACTCACTAGATGTCCTTAGATATACCCTTATAATGTCAGTTTAAAAAATGACTGCATATTTTGTTCAATATTTGTCCGTTTCCTTTGACATTGTTTCAATTTCATAGCCAGAATAAATCATTTAATATATATGTATTTTTATGAGAAAGCATCGTAAGAAAGCAACTTTACCTTTGGGTCCTGCTATCCCGTAGCCTTTAGAATCTAAAAGATCACCAACTTGCATAAGTTCACAATTTCTCTGCACTTGATAATCTATGGACGTCGATTCAGCTAAAAATGCATAATTTTCTGTCTTTACTTTTTTCAAAACTTCTTGTTACAGATGACAAACTTTTGGTTAGCGTTAAATGTAAGCGTTTACGCGTTTGAATGTAGATATGTTAGAGTTCTGAAATTACATTTATATGCATCTAATTTACTTTAAATAAATCGCTAGAAGGCGTATGACGGTTTGACTCATAAACAGCTTATATAATTTAACATTGATCTGACAAAGACCAAAGCATTTTTTATTGACTTTCTTTTTGTTAAGACAGATATATCGAATCATTTATATGCATTGGTTAAACTACAGAGTCAAAAAATATATCAAAATAAAATGAAAATACGAATCAAATATTATTCTATGACATAAATATTCAATAAAGGACGATTATTATAGTTAATGTATATCAAAGTGCGGTGCATTTTAGTTTTTCGGTTATTTGACTGGAGCCCTGATATTTTTCAAAAAGAAAAGTATGTATAATCTTTGTCATGTATTATAAATTAATTTACATGTTATACAATTCTCACTGGTACTGAAATTACAAGGTTACATTCGTTAAGGAATGTCAGACTCGCACCAACATTTCTTAAAACATGAAGCATATGTAAAATAATTGTACCAAATAGTCTATCGCCGAAGGTTGTGCTTACCACATAATTGGTATTATATTTTGTGCACAAACCTGTTTTATACGTATAATTAGTTTATTTGAACGAACATTTTAAGTACAGTCTGAACAAATGTTTTCATCTTTCATTTTTCAATGAAATAAAAATATTATTCACATGTATTATCAGGGACAGTATTAAGATCTATCTAAGTCTCTTCTCTTGTTTAATGAAATTTGCCTTCATCATCAATGTTCTTATTGTAGACCCAAATGAACAAAATGATTTTGTTGCAATTATACTTTTTAAATACATCAGAGAGCCGTACCCTACCTACCTTAAAGAACTCTCTGGTTGAACCACTGGATAAAGTACCATAACCTATGTCTGTTTGTAAGGACAAATCGTCGGCATTTGTTATAGGTGCTGCCATTCGACTTTTTGTGAGAAAAGCGGCGAGATTAGCAGTGTATGAAGACACGAGTATTAGTGTGAACAGGTACATATACTCGCCACAAACCTGGTCGACGACGCCTTCGGTGCTACGTCACTTCCTGTGTAGGTATTTTGTGCAATGTCATGTCAAAAAGGACCAGGATATAAACTTTTTTTCATATGATTTTAATAAAATTCTCGAACATTACCATTGTCAGATATAATTGGAAATGATTTGGTTTTTTCCCATTGAATTTCTTACATTATTTATATATAAACTTTCAAAAATTGTTGTTTATATGTGAGCTGGTCCTTTTTACTATGACAACAACAGAAAAAGGCGCCAACAAGTGGCGAACATGTGTGTCAATGAAAACATTAGCTTGAAATCTTTATTTTAATTTTGGTTTAATGAGTATTTTTACATTTGAGTTTTAATCTATTACTTTTTTGAAAATTACAACTTAATGTGGTTTGTATTGAAGAGAATGACATTAATTTTTTACAGTTTTTTTATCATAAACTTTAACTTTTAATTTAAGAAAATTGCGTAAAATGAAAGCGTTCTAGACATACTTGCTCAGTCAAAAAGATTAAAAAAAATATATTTCGACCACACAATAAAATCTCATTACAAGGGAGAAAACAATAAGAGCAGCTACAGTTCCGCAGTCGAATTTTCCTCCCTTGAACTATTAGGTTGAAACCGGAAGACGTTCTTTTTTTTAAATAAAAGATGATTTTTAGATTAAAAATATGGTGGACTGCTCCACACAATCAACTCATCATGAACTTAAGTTTAAGGTAAGCATGAACAAATTTATCGTGATAATCAGATAAGGAAACCATCGGAGCCCGGTCCGTAACCAAAAATTGATTCGAATACCAAGACAAAAAGTTGGTATATAATAACAGAGTTAAAAAGTGTATGTAATGAGGGATAATCTACAGAGTGAAGTCTACGTAATCTACACTCTACTGTTTTATATGGGAAGAAATTGTGAAGAAAGGAATGTATAATAGTAAAAGATATATTTGTTTAGAAGTTATATAATTTAAAATATGAAATTTACGGAAAAATAAAAACATGGTTACGTATTTTATACGGTATCATTAACTAAATTGTATTTCTTATAAAGCTAAATAACTTTATGATCATTTTTCGCCGTTCTAAAAACATATTATTATTAAGATTAGACCAGTGCATTTAAGTGCATATACATGCAATGCTAACACGAGATTCCCGTGCAGTTGCGCAACATGCTTCTAGAATATAGAATATATATATCTTGATTATTTTATATCATTCCACTAGCATAATCATAAATTGCTTGGAGCAAGAAGATGCCGCTTTAAACGGACATAAAAGCATTCACACAAACCAAAAAAGTAAAGTTGTTACGTGCCTAATGCATCATAGAGTAGGGTCCGTACCCTCAGTGCCTGAAAGGACGGATGGACCCTCATTAAGCATATAATACACTGCATTATAGAGTTTAATGCCACTTATTGCAATGTTTTTTCTAAGTTGGACATTTATATACCCTGTATAGAGTTAGGAACACTGGTTTACGGGAGTCTTATTCTTCACCTTCCATCAATTACATAGCGCTTCATCTCTTCAAAGTTGGAAAGACTCTATTTCCTTAACATGGAACTCGTGTAATTTTTATAACCAATTACCTAAATTTGATATTCAGTATACCATCACAAAATATGTCTTTTAATTTTATAACAGTATTGTCTCCTTGAGCTACTAGTATTTTGCATTTTATTCTGAAAATCAAATTTGTTCAGTTGAACATACGTACATATATTTTCCATTAAGGGTGATCTTGTTATTTTTGAGCCGCACTTCAAAAAAAGAAATACCTACCTTGTCATCCAGACCAGATGTCCGATACTAGACTAGACACGGGGTGAAAGTTTAAGGTCAGGTCAAACGAGGAAAATTATTTGAAACGTTATGCTTATATACTTACTAACAACTGCTCTACTTAAAGGAGTTCCGTGCTCGTGTTTAGGAAAAAATCTTGGGTTATGTTGCTTTTGTCCGTTCAAATATTATTTGAATTACATCGTTCAATATGTGTCATACACATAGAAAAAATCTCATACTTTTGTATGGTCCAAAAATCTAAACCCAAGCGATTTTCTGTTTTTCGGTCAAAGATACTTGTAGGAAATGTTTCGTGTCGTATCTCAATGTTATGTGTTCTCACCCTGAAGAAGTTTCTCGTTGATCCACTATTTAGTGTCCCATATGGAATATCTTTCTGGTTTGCCAGATCGTCGGCGTTCTCAACCGGGGCGGCCATTCGAGACATGGTAAGGAAAGCTGCGAGATTGGCAGTATAAGAAGACACGAGGATGAGAACGAAAAACCACCAGAGGATAGCAACGGTTCTTGTTGAGATAGCTTTGGGCATGATGTCACAACCTATAGTATCAGTGAGTAAGCTGCTAGTTAGTAAAATAGTACGATACAGTCAAACGTGTGTTAGTGCTCGTAACTCTACTTCATCATTCGCTATTTTCAATTTCCAGATACATGTATATATATTTCACACGGAGACAGCCACAAAGCTTCACCAATTAAGCAAAGCATTTAGATGGTTCCAATTAAAAAATATCAATGGGCGATATTTGAAATAAATGATGAAAAAAACTCTATATTAACGTCTTACTATATACGTTATTTTGAGTAATTATTTCGTACTTTTTTTAATATTTTATACACGTTTGACTGTATAAGAACTTTATGACGGAGATTATCATCTTGGAACGCCGATAACTTCCATGGAAACTCTACTAAGAACAGTATTGTGATATATGTTTGCTCTCAAATAATCTAGAAGCAAAACCTTTGCGCGTATGCGTAAACTCTAACTAATATTTGAGTAATGAGGTTTTCATAAAGGTGCAAGAGATTTTATGCACTATTTTCTCCTGAAGCAAAATTGGCTAGCAAACACAGTCAGGGCAAACACAAAAAGCGCTAACTTCTCAGCTAGTTTCTATCATGTCAAGCATCGGTGTTCCAAATGGTCTCGTTTGAATGTCGCCCAAAGATACATTGGAATATTACTAATAAAATCTTATTTTGGCATTGTTTGGTTCAATTATCATTAGGCGAGATTCCACCAGTCTGAACATAACAATTTTACATTATTCCATGTTGATTTCTTTCTATCTTTTATTTTCCTTTAGAACAAGAAAAACGATATATGTTTTAATGTAATAATAGATATTTATAATTACAGATATTTGAATGTGTAAATCTGTCATTAAGAACAATAAATCGTTTCGTTCAGACTGTTTTGGGAAACTATATTCCACACACAAGCTACGTATTGTCTCTACACATAGTGTTCTAGCTAAAACCAAACCTATTCCTGAAGAATCTATAGCTTTAAGGCAATTTACCCGTGATGTCAATCACTTATTCCGGTTAACAACGAGAATTTAGACATTTCCTTATTTACCGGTTCAAGTTATTACAGAATGCACAGGCTTAAGTCGTTCCGTCAAGGAACGGAAACTGACTAGAAATTACAAACATTATCGACCGGATTATGGCGATTGACAGTGCGGGTCTACAACCTTAATATAATATCATATCAGAGACATAGAGATCTAGTTATATACATCTCTGATGGTATAGAAGAGCTAAAAGCAGAACTGGAGAAGCAGAATTATAGGTATGCCGTAACTAAATGTTGACGGATTTTAAATATAGCGAATATATATGTACATAGCTAAGGGACATAGAGGCAATATCCTGTTGGATATATAACACATGTTTAAGATTGCACAAATTTTCATCTCGTATGCTTTGATTATAAAATGTTATGATCACAAGACGTCGCTTTGTTAAAACAAACATCAAATTGATACAAATGTAAATAAACATGAATATGCATTACTGTAATTTTGTTTGAGATTTACTACAATGAAAATAGCTTACAACAAATGTTAAAATTATTCCAAAATGCATTACATATATACATGGACACATAGATCGGCAGACAAATTCATATCGATCTTAGATATTGCATCCTTCAGCAGGCTTATAGACCTATATAACGTAAAATACGTGAATTTATAGACCTATATACCGTACAATACGTGAATTTATAGGCCTGTATAACGTACGATACGTGAATTTATAGGTCTATATACCGTACAATACGTGAATTTATAGACCTATATACCGTACAATACGTGAATTTATAGACCTATATAACGTACAATACGTGAATTTACATACCTTGCTGCATAAGGGAACCAATCGTAAACCACAGACTGTTTAATATTGTAAACTGATTTTCCACTTCTTCCGACTCCTCATTACATGGGTGTGGATTTTCCCATTCATATGGTGTAAATCTAACATGATTCGAAAAATAAATTGTTAACATAATATTATGAAAATATACAATAACCAGTAAAGAAATGCTCTATTGCAAATGCACTTAACTCGCCTAGACCTGACACTTTAAACGTTGAAGTAATGGCATGGTTAAAACAAAATAACTAAGTCTTTCAGATAACCAGAGGATTCGACATTATAGGCAGATTAAATAAAAGTAACTGAAAGAAACTCTGAAATAAACTTTATCAAAGGTTTGCTTTCGGATGACCTGTACTTCTGCATTATTTGGAGATTAAACGAATGTTACAGCACGAAACTCTATAATAATCTTGATAAAGAGTTTGTAAACTTTGTACAGATCAAAAGGAGTTGCTACTTCGTGGTGTTCAGTTCATTGCTTTAATCTATTCAAACTTTAAACTTTAAAAATTCAACAATGATTATTCAATGTTTTACTCTTCATCATTTATAGTAATTGTAAAACTTAATAAAGTATACAAACACTGCTCATAAAATATTACCTTGCAATTACAAACAGCATAAAGCTGACACAAAGGTACGCAGCAATCATATAAATCCAGACATCAGCAGATAAAGGTTTGAGGAAGGAGAAGAGGTCTGGGGGACTTTTCAGTGGTTTACGGTAGATGATGGTAATACCCAGACTAAGGAACGGCATAGTGAAGTCGACCACTTTAGCGCGTGCATATGTAATAGTTAAACCTGCGGCGGCAATGTCAGCTTTCTGCGGATAAAGATAATTCATTTAAATTAGAAGGAAACAAAGCCAGGAAATGTGTTTTACATTTTGTATTTCATCACTCTAACATAAAGAATAAATTTCACATTGACGATGCTTTCACGTCGTGATCCTGGGTGTGAACAGAAATGAGGGATAATTTTACTGTGCAAGACCCATAGAAAGTTACAGACATCCCAATCTTTTTGTAGATACAAATTAAATATATATTGAATATACTAAGAACAAGTAATAAACATTGCTGATTAATGTCAGGCATCTGTTAACCAGATTATTTCAAATTTTAGGTAACGTGTTTCAAGTTTCAACCTGCTGTTGATCATTGCGATTTTTCACATTTTTGCTCCACCACACGAAAGAGTACACCTTTCATGTTAAAGTGTAGCGAAAATGAGTACGGACGAAAGTGGAAAATAAATGAAAGGCGTACTTATAAGTTTAAACATATTCATTTTTTTATATTTTGTCAAGTTTGAGTGTGTTCGACCGTTCAAATTAAGCGACGTGTGATACATCAACTATCATTATACACTGTATAAGTACAGTTTTATAAAACCTTATGATATCTTACATTAACACGGTCTCTCTCGATCAAATCTCCAATCATGCCGTTCCATTTCCCGTCAACATTACTCCCATATTCCCTCTTAGATTCTTCATATATAGTATAGTTAAACCCTAGGATCTTCGCCAGTTCGTCAAGAAGGTCAATAATAAATCCCTCGTGCATGCGCCCGTGCTCATTAGGTTCTGTCAGATTTATGACATACGGTGGATCCTGAAAAGTTTTTAAATTGTAATGTTCTACTTAACTATTTTATCTTTCAAAATATTTACTATGATATGAAGTTTCAATAGTTATAGATTTATTTCAAGAAATGTTTGCAAAGTTCCGAAACGATTAATTATGAGGTTTTAACACCGTGAAAAGCATATAAACAAATAATGTGAACTCTATAATATTACATTTTACTTAGACGAATTATTTACTTGTCTCAAATCGTAAGCATTTGTTACAGTTATTAAAATATTTTATCTAAATGTACATGACGTAAACCCCGAGACAAACGACGTCATGCATTACGTTAACAGTTATTATAGTTATAACTTGACTGTCAACAGAAGTTAAATAGAAGTTAAAATTAATTTAACCGGGTGAATATCATATACTCAGTTTATGCAATGTTCAGCAAATTACTAAATGACATGAAAAATGTAGCAAAACTTACATAAATTGTGACAACTCTTAAAGTCATATTTCTTAGACGCTCGCGGTCATCGTGCACCTGCTGTGTAATGGTGACGGTGATATTTACACCTTTGTCCGGAGTCCAGTGTCCTATCTAAATATATGACATAAAAATGTGTAAAATAGAAATGAATATGTACAACAATAATACAGAGACTGAGAAAAAAGTGATTACTGTTTGAACAAACAGGAAAAATGCAAGGGTTATAACACCCGAGTTAAAAGTGCAAAGTTATATTACATGATTCAACAGGACGTTATGGAATCGACTTGTGTAATCGGTCCGTTGAGAACAACCGTATTTTCACCAGAAAGCGTATAGGTATGTAATACAGATGTATTTCAACTAAATGTGTTATCTGGCTCAAAATATTTCAATCTAAAAAAAAAACGTCAGTTTGTGATCAATATATTCAGGTATTAAAAGGAATCCCTCGTTAATCAATCATAGACTTCATTAATCTAATAATTTTCAGTAAGACATAAAGTAAGTTTCCCGTATTTAAATTTCATCAACTTTATAGACCTAGATTTGAAATATAAGACGTAAATCCTCTTATTTTACTGTCAGATTTATTATGCATGTTTTTATCATTGTGTATATCATAGACAGGGGGATGGTACATACATACAATAAATAACATCATAGAATATAGTTACCTCGATCAAACCATGAGTTGTAAGACTAACAATGCCCAGCCGGAACTCTTTTCGCTTTCCATTCTTAAATTCTATCTTTCCTGACAGACCATCATATGCTAACTGGAAAAAAATGAAAACATGATATAAATCATCTAATTTTAGAATTCGCACAGCTAATATGTCAATGATAATTGTGTTGGCCTCCCGTCCAAATAAGCTCTAAACTGTGGTACCTCATATGTGTCTAGAACTGATTGCCTTGGAATCTGGATAAATTTTCATACTCAGGCATAAAAAGGTAACAATATGTAAACTGAAATAAACTCCCACACATCTATCTAAAAGAAAGTGAAAAAGATTGATCATATATTTTGTGTGTCACAACAAGACTTGGGATTAGGTTTATAATGTCTGATCCACTATCAGTTCAATTTAGGTCCGTTAAGAACACGGACGTTAATTCATTTGGAGGTTGTTAGTTATGGCGTTATAGAATGGAAGGTTCAATGATAAATTACCATACAAACACAGCCCAGGAGGTTGTTCTTAAATGTATATTCTTATTTTAAATGCTCGATTTTGCTTGACGTTTTTCTAAGGAGCGTAGGTAGTTACATGTATCAATCACCACCGTCCATTATCAGACTTGATCAACCCCAACATACGACCTTTTTTTATTTTTACTGTTTTGAGCTTCCTTTTTAATTTCGATATTATTGTGGGAAAAAAAGTTTGATGAAAGTTTGTTGAAGATCCTTTTTAAAATACTAAGAACATTGTGTCTGTTTACTGCATACATGTATTTTGTTTTATAATATTTTTACAACATACATAGCATAAGTTCGATGAGATTTTCAAAACAGCATGACAATTACTCGGTTTATTGATTTAATAGGTTATACATAAATAATTTATAAATACGAACTTTTAGTGCTACCCTATTTATAACGATAATTCTCCTTGATAATTCTACCTGATAACTGACATGATGTATAGCATGCCTGATATAAAGAAAGATTTCGTCTCAGAAAAGATAAACTTTGGCAGTTGATGTTTCTAGATAATTAAAGGCACCTATTAAATCAATGCTAGACCAATGGTCTGGGTGATTTATCAATTTACACTGATTGAATTATAACGAGATTTCAACGGCAACGTTAGCATCTGATGGGAACGTCATATATTTGTCTTATTATCTTATAGGAAGGAAACAACACTGATAGTCAAAAATTCTAGGGTTTTGTTTTCGAAACTGATGATAGTTAACTAAAATATCCGTATAATATTTAAACATTTCATTTGAAAAAAGTTGCAGTAACTGACCAAGATTCTGGAGTCTGGCATATATCGCCGGATTTGACTGATATAAACATATATTATGGCTGCGAAATAGTGTAAGTTCATTACATTTGTTATATTTGACTAGTGAAACACCGGAAGGGGACAGATGACATTACATTTATTATTGTTGACCAGTGAAACTCCAGTGGACAGTGGACAAAAGACATTACATACAATCTTTAAACCAGTGAAACCGAGGTCGGGGATGGGAGACATTATTTAAAATTAAAATTCTTAACCAGTGCAACCCCGAAAGAGGACGAATGGCATTACATGCTTAATTGTTTACAAGATGGTTGTGGATATAAGATTTGATTTATATTTCTTTATACATTGAACATTGTATTCGTTATCAACATATGGGTGTATTAACGTGTTGGGTCTGTAAATGTTACGTATTTGAAACACTGTATATGAACACGGATTTATATCCGTGATATGAATGAACTTTCAAAATCAAAGTTAAAACACTTTCATTCAACAAAGTTACCTTTGTAAGTTGATAAAAAAACAACCCTGACCCTTTTGAAATAAAACAACGGTCAAATTTGCCAATCAACCTAAAAAACTCTATATTTATTTTCTTACTGCTTTCATATAGTTTAGCAGACTGTCTCCTTTCTTCCAGCTCTCTCGTTTGTTACAGTTTAACGACTCTGTGGAGATCTGCTGGGCGTTCGCCAGACCAGACAATGCACGTGCATACATGTACACCGCGTCATACATCAACGCAGTCTCCGTCTGAAAATAAAAGACAAGACAAGCGTTCAATGCAATATCCAGATTATTTATACCAAGCAATTCCTACAAACCATACGCTCGTGGTCTGTAAATATTTGAATAATAAAAAGGCTGAATGTCATTGTAAAGTAGAACAGAAACATATTCTGACCAAACAAAAACATGTGTAAGCGAAACGAAAAAATTGTCCAGGAAATATTACCTATAAACAATATATATTTACAGTAAAGAAATAAAGAAATGATTTATGACAGATATAGTCATGGCCTTGATGACTCGAATAAACTGAGGTTTCTATTTGAATATTTTGTATGTAAACACACATTACCTTGATTGCCCTCATACCAAGAAGTGGAGATCTAAGATTGTTTGTTTCCATGATACCCCATTCAGCCATTATACTCATAACATCCGGGTTATTCGGGTCAATCAGACGCATGGAAGTTATGTTAGCACCTTTGTGCCGGAACTCATCCAAATCCAACGTTGACATGTCCTGGAAACGTAGAAATACACGTGCTAACAACTTACAGGTAACAAGATGCACATGAAATCGGGAAAACTTTTTGTAATTTGAAAAAAACATATCTATGAAACGTTTGTGATTTTAAGGTATCATTAAGATTTTTGTTGTTGTTGTTCATGTCTGATGAAGACGCATAGGCGGAAAAATCAATTGTTCCTATTGCCAAGGTTGTACCACTGCCTGTACGGACAAGTAAGAATTTAAGAATTTACTTTATTAATATGACACGGATAAGTCAAATGCAGATTTTGCCGGTCCTGGGGTCACAAATTTAAGTCGAAACTTGTAGGATGTGTTTTCCTGATTTTACATTAATGATTATAAATTTCGTGTTGTTTGTTGTTGTTGTTGTTGTTTGCTTTATTTTTTTATTTCAAACAAGATATATATAACCGCCATTAACCTCATTAAACTCAAATTACAAAGCTGTACATGTATAATGATATGTATATTTGAGCCGCGTCACGACAAAACCAACATAGTGTGTTTGTGACCAGCATGGATCCAGACCAGCCTGCACATCCGCGCAGTCTGATCAGGATCCATGCTGTTCGCTTCAAGTACAGAAACTGATAGCGAACAGCATGGATCCTGATCAGACTGCGCGGATGCGCAGGCTGGTCTGGATCCATGCTGGTCGCAAACACACTATGTTGGTTTTGTCATGACGCGGCTCATTTCATTTTTACAATTAGGACATGCTGTTTAATTTAAGAAATGGAAAAATAAATATGAGAAGAAAAACGAAAATTATTACATAAACGAATAATAAGACAAACAGATTGTTAACAGAGCAATCATTTGGAAGAATATCACGTGACTATTATCATTGTTTATGTCTTGTAAATATTTTAATATAGTATATCTGTTTTATAGTTTTATATCGTTCATTCAAATGCTTGTTTCCTGATAATTTCAGACGAACAAAAATTCATTTTTATCATTTAATTATCTTAAAAGACGGACTATATCGCAGTTTTGTTACATCCTCTGCACTTGAATGATAAAGATAAAATTCCTCGAGAGTTTTCCCGCGGAATGATATCTCGTGATTGATATATCCTACAGGAAGATGTCGGCTATATGAGGTAGTCTGTTGAACTGTCTTATCTCAGTACACGATATTATACAGATTGTATGAATGTTAGTTTATAATATACGTCAGAACTTTTATATTATTCCGAATATATTTATGTAAAATGTTTAATCTGATGACAAAATCAGTATAGCTTCAATTTAACTTGTTTGATTTATAGACTATGAGAAAATATCCTGAATTTACAATCGGTATATCTAAATACAATGGTTTTAATGGAATGAGTTTTCTTATTTATTTTTTATATAAATTCATTGTTTTTAAATTGTAACTCATGGGAATTATGTCAAAATGATCAAAGCCGCGAATAAGACATAGAATTCAATATTAAAATAAAATGTTCATTGTATTGGCTACTGTATCTGATTGGACAACTGAGAAAAGTTACATAGAAGCTATATATGGGAAATAAAATGAAGTACACCATTTAATATATTGAATAAATCTGACATTATCTGTTGGGATATATTTAACGCACATGACTTTAGTTATTATAATATACGAGGACTATCGACTCATTAGAATTGCTCAGTGGCAACAGAAACTTTTACTATAATAACGTTATAATCTTAAATATAATCTTAAATGTTTTCCAAAATGTAAGCATATTTACCTGGCGGTAAAACATTCTAGTGAATTGTTTTTTGTTTTGTTTTTTCGAACGTATATCTTATCTTGCTTGAATGGTGTGTCGATTTTTATGTACAATTTCATCTTACTTTTCGATAAGATGGAAAGATTTTAAATTGAATAAACGCACATGAGCCGCGTCACGACAAAACCAACATAATGCGTTTGCGACCAGCATGGATCCAGACCAGCCTGCGCATCCGCGCAGTCTGATCAGGATCCATGCTGTTCGCTTACAAACCCTATAACAAGTAGAGAAACTGATAGCGAACAGCATGGATCCTGATCAGACTGCGCGGATGCGCAGGCTGGTCTGGATCCATGCTGGTCGCAAACGCATTATGTTGGTTTTGTCGTGACGCGGCTCATATGTTTTAAGTGTAAGATAAACAAACAGCTTCCGTTAAAACCTTCATTGAATGATTAATCAAACTCTCTTATGTTTAGCACCTGGAATTTCAAGAAGCATTGATAACAATCTTGATAAATTCAAGTTTCCCATGAATCATTAGATGTTACATGAACAATAGATATGATGTGCACGTCGTGCACGTGTCACGTGTCTTTGTGATTGTGCTTTAAATGCGGATCAGTTTATACTTTATTCGTAGGTGAAAAATGCAAGTTAAATAAGTGTCATTAGCCTTACCCGTACAAAACAACTATCATAATGATGAAAAGATGGTAACGCGTAAATTGAACCTGTTACCATGGAAATGTTCCAATTATTCTTCTGAAAAAATATATGCAAGTATCGAATCTGTCGTCCGTCTGCATTTATGAAATACTTAAGTTTTCCTTCGAAAATAGACAAATATGATGAAAAAAATATGGCACTACGTGCAACGTTACTGTTATATACTTTTTTGTTATAATCATCATTTGTATACTATTTAACATGTATTTGATGTAATATGTTTAAACTAACGTCACTTCCTGGAAAACAATTATGCCGAAATTTCATTGGAAGGTGGTATCATATAATTATTATCTCCTTTAACCTAAGAAGAACAACGAAAAATTATAACCATCTATATAATTCGATAGCATTCAAGTAAACAGTTACAAAAACTTAAAGTTTTTATACATTGAGGATAGATATAAAATGTACTATAAAATCAAATATTTGTCGTAGAAGAGTAAAAGACACGGATTTAGTCAAATAATGATGGCATAAGAACAATACACACGCGATTCAACAATTAGGACAGGTGATCGTATGCACACATTAGTGTCATTATTTGGCAATTCTGAAAACATATAAACTGTTGTATTAATTTATTTGTATGCTATTATTATTAGGCATACAATATCCAAGCATACGATATCCAAGCAATGATGAAATTTGATATAAAAATAGATGTGTCATTAAAATCCAATCGTTTAAACGTGCTGCCTATCAGATTGTGACTTCAAATTTATATGGCGTGTAAATTTTACGAGGTTCGACGTCACTATTGAAATTGTTAAAATGGAAATTGCACATTAAGTACTAATAAAACAATCGTATGATAGCATGTGAGAGAACAGTTTACATGTTTGTTTGCTGTAAGTGTAATTTTCTATTAAACTTTAACAGAAATAAGGTTGATACGTGCAAATGTTTAATTTACGAAACGACATTCTAACTTATAAAATAGTTTCTGAGAAAGCTTTGGAATTGACAGTTAAATAGAGTAGAAAATGTTTAATTAAGAAACAAACACACATATAAAAAAAACACTTACCAAAGATGTGAAGTGGAAGTGGTAATAGGCGGATAGCATATTCAACTCGTCAGCCTAAAAATAACAAGAAAATATATTGATAATAATTCATCTTCAAAAGAGATTGATGAACATAAGCTTATTTTCCCGAAAATAAATAAACTTGCATGCCTTAACGATATATTTGAAACTCGGTGTAGCAATACTGCATTTGTAAACTTAATCAAAGATTTTGACAATTTGCGAGGAAAGAGTCATATATCATATTGTCAAGTCGTTAAATCTTAACATTAGCGTTTCTCGAAATATTACGCTTATTGGTTCAGACGAGTAATATAGTATGGGTAAATAACAGAAAAATCGCGAAAAATATTAGAAGTAATAATAACTGGAAAATCACATTCAATCTTCTTGTAACAAATCAGATTCATTTTACGTCACGTGCAAAAATATTTAGAAGAATTAAGACATGTTCCTTAAATGTTCCCTTTACTTTACAAGAGCTCTTTAAGCATGTTCAAATCTATTTACATTGTTGCATATTGAATATTTTAATTTAAAATCTCCTACAACATTTGCAAGAGAATAGCATGTTTTAATCTGAGTCGAATTCAGAATCCTAATTTTATCAGTTGGAAGGGGGTCATCATACTGGGGATATCAATATGAAGTTAGTTTTAAATCTTTACTCAAACGCAATTAACATCCTAAAAAACGCTACAAGTGTGACTGAATATTTTATGATATATGAATAACTCTTCATAAAAGCTTTGTATTAACCAGGATCCTTCAATTAGAAAGACCCTGTATTAACAGATGTGTAAACAAATGTTTGTTAAAACGACAGAGAAACCATATTAAAGAAAACAACAGGTAAACCTCAAAAACCATGCGACAGATTAAAAATAAATGTTAAATTAAATTTTTCTTCTAAACTTGTCGTTTGAGTCCATTCTATCTATGTATAAAGTGTCTGTTAAAAGTTTTAAGATAGCTTGAAAACTACACGGAGTTGAGACATGTGAATGACGCTCTAAATATGTCTCGACAATTACATTAATTGACATGGTAAAGTAAAGACATTGAAATATCGTGTGTGGTAATTGATTTTCACAGACAAATACAGCATTTGTATCTAGCGACAGTCTTGAAAATTTAGTACAAAACACCAGAGCAGTTGTCGTATACATAATTTAGTTAATTGTAGATCAAAAGAAACATGTTATGAACTTTGTACAGCTTTGATTACATACTTTAAACATCAAATATCAATCTAATATATTAATATTGATTTGTAATGATCTGAACCCAATCCAAACATTAAATTATCCACATGTATATTGCCTAATGATACTTGAAATCGAAATGTATTATCAAAAGGAAATGAAGTAATCTAGATAAACTTTTCAGCAAGAGGTGCTGTAAGCTGTTTAACGGATGGAAATTGAAGGTGGTACATTGTAAATCCATGGAAACAGTGCCATATCTTTGTAAGAAAATGCAATAGTGAGTTTCCATAATCCTTAAGGCTTTACAATAATGAACAAGAGGCTTCATTACACAGACAGTAAATCATGTAGCAAATACTGGTATTAATCGTTGGCTCTTAATTAAATTGGTATAATTAATTATCTGCTTGCCAGTGGAGGAGTTTAATTTTAAAGTTAATCGACCACGTTACCGAGATTCATTAAAACCATACGAGATTGAAGTAATAAATGTTTCAGAATAGAGTAATGGTGTCACATTTCTTCATGAAGCACTAAGAATCTCTTAAACACATAAATATCCAGAATATAATAATTATTCTAATTTTGAATACATGTGTATGAACAAAATGTACATGAGAAAAGGTTAAAGAAAATCTAAATAAATAGAGACTTATTGATATGAATATTTAGGAAGCGGGTCTTTAACATTGTTGATTTTGATGTATTTAAGATGCATTGTACAACTTCTTCAAGAATATTTCTCATTTTTCAGGAATGTGTCTGAAGCATCATTAATCTTACCTCTTCAAGAAACTTTTTAATCTTGGAGGCGTGACAGTCTATAATGATTCGATATTCAGGTTTCTCCTTTAGTTCTTTCAGCATACTTTTATACGTATGTTGATATATCTCTAATCTACGTATGGTCATTTTATACTCGTCTCCTCTAGCTACCTCTAGTAACTTGTGTAAACGCACAAGACCTGAAATATGTTAGTTTTAATACATGTATATTTATAATTGAAGCTTGATTGCAAAACAGGTTCTTGCAATTTATATTTATCATCATTTTACGTGAGATATAAAACCAAATTAAGAAACAGTCTTGATATTAGCGGTGGAAATATTTACTTTTAATCGTTATAAAATTGATTAAGAATCAAAAAGTTGATTTTTTCATAGTAATTTGAATGCTACAAACAAGTTTGAAAAATAATTATGCCAAATCATTTGATAATAAAGACCCACGCTTTAACGGTACGTTTATATTACCAGTTCAGCATATGAGTGGTTATTCCAAAAATTACAAAATTCAGCATTTTAACTTCAAAATAAATAACAATTGCTTATTTTATCGATGCAATTTATTTGCTTTGACGAAATGATTTCTATATTCTCAACAGAATGAAAGATGTCTCCCCCATTTGATGTTGTAAACAGAGAGAATCTCTAAATTGATCAAATCTAATGTGAATAGTTTTATCCTCAAATCATAACTTGTTTGTAAAGGAACAAAGATTTTCCCTGCTAATCGATCTATCATCTCATGTTAGAATAAGAAGATATTCCCGGGAGATCAAACGAAAAAAAATCATATTTTGATTACAACAAAATTTGACAAGCGTCCATGACGTACAAAGAAGGCATAACAGGAATATTATATTCAGTAAAGTATATCAATATCAGATTTTTTAATGAGATTTGTTTTCCTTCCGTTACGAAATGTCAAAACAATGAAATTATTTTTGATTGAAAGTATGGTTAGATGTGTCGTTTTATGAGAGAGTTATGTTCTTGTTTCACAAAGTCTTATTTAATTATGATCTAAGAAATGTCAAATAATATGACTTATTCTATAAAGTTGACCTAGCTCTAAGCGTTAATTAAATTTGCATTTTCTTTCACTTTTGTTTGAACATTGATTTAACAAACTTATGTAGCTCTATTCAGTGCAATAATTACATTCTGGTTGTAATGTTAATATACAAAAAAATTTAGACACGTAATGTATATTTCTTAGATTAATAAAACAAACTGCATTTTAAAGAGCGTCTATAGTTGAACCTTTTTAATACAATTATCGCATGCTTCATGATGCTTCATACATCTCTTGTACAGTATTATAAGATAGGGACATACTGCAGCTATATATACACATGCTCTCAATTACAAAACAGCATTTTATTGCTATTGTTGAAAGGTATAAGGTCAAAAGCGTAAGACCAGCCAGACCAGTCTATATATGGTGTCTGGATCAAGTACTATTACCCTTTGCATGCTTAACCTTCATTCTTTATTGTCTTTTCTTCAATTGGACAGGTTCATATTCAAAGCAGGACACGTTCATTATATGAAATTAGCAGGGTAATATTATCTATGATTTGATGAAATTCATCATTAACTTACTTTCTCCATCCTCATATATGACTGTGAACGTTTTCCATTCCCAATGTTTTACTATATCTGCAAACGCTTGACTGAGGACATCGTGGTCCGGGTAAACGCTTATTGAAAAATATTCACGTGGTTCACGTGAATCCCATATTGCCTGGATATGTGGAATCTCAAATGCGTTACAGAGTGAATGCACGTGCGCACGAGATATTTCACTGAATGGTCCGAAAACTGCTGCTATACCACCATGAGCTTTCATCTCTCGGCATACTGAAAAAAAAGATTGGCAAAGAAATCAATTCTATGAATTGTTTTATCTATGAAACCTATCTTGTTTTAAGAAAAGGAAATGGCATTTTCTCAATATAAAATGGTAAAATGTGTAGTGGTTTTGAGAAAGGCAAGTTCATGTATATTCAGCAGAAGGCGCTTCTTGTGTAATTAAAATAGAATCCCCCAGGAGATACTAATGCGACTAAAAGACAACATTTCTTTGAGTTCTTAATTACAGCTTAACAGATGCTTATATTTAATTTACTTTCTTAATTATATCCCCGTGTGTGCCTACTTAGTTACATACACGTATGGTAAATAATCTCACGACAGGCGCGAGATTCTCGTGCAAGTACTGATAACAATCATTATCGTTATATTTTACCATTATTTATAAAATTCCATCATTTTAATTTACGTTATAAGATACATTTGACTTCTGGTAAACATGCCTTTTAAAAGTTCGACGTTATAATTGTAGTATCAACGCAGTATGACGATTCGAGTTATGTGCGTTTATAGCTTTTCTGAATCCTAAAAAAATCTACGGTAGTTTAGAGTGTTCTCTTAGAATATTTGGCAGCAACTCTCCTCCTCCCCTGTTAATATTGTGTATATATTTTAACAGTTTTATGACAAATAAAATAAATACAATACACTTGTCGGCAAGATAAAAGGCATTGATCCATTTGATATTTTGATACAATAATCTTATCTTGAATCTGTCTATATGTAAAACCTGGTCATATTATAACAGCGATATTTACACGTTCTATTACGCTCGTAGATGATTGATATATGTAATTAACCGTGCCAAAAACACGTGTACCTGGCTATTGGTACATGATGGAAACTCTCTCACAGATATGAAATAGACCGGTTAATTACACAGGTATGAACGTCATTTTCATCTTATGTTTATTATTATGAAGAACACATGATTTGCGTAATGTATATGTTTTTGTTACATATATTTGTTGTATTATGTTGGCATGAGGTATATAATGTTGTTTGCTTCAATTAGTCCACTGATATAAGACTAGGTGAGAGAGTTTTGGCAACACGAAACTAAGAAGAAGGTTATTGCGCTGTAACTTTCTACATTACATGCTAGAACTACAATTACTTATACATTAGCCTTAGTCGGTTCTGTCTCTTGACCATAATCTATTATTTAAAGTTGAATTATGTCCTTTCACAAAACTGTCAACCTAAATTTACGAAGTTGGAGTTCAGGTATAAGAGCAGTTGCTACGATAGTGTCATCATTATGATTCAATAATATTAAGTTTAAATTGTGTTGACATCCAATATATGAAACATTATAGTAATTTAGAGAGTATCCCTCGGGAGAAGCAATTAAACCTAAAACAAAATAGCTGATAATCGCCGATTCGAACAACATCGCTCACGGCCCCTCCCCCCCCACCACCAGATTATCAAGTATTCAATTTTCAGCTCTAAAAGTATTGAATCTAATAATACAGAATGACGGAAACACAATATAGCAAAAAAACAAAAATTCGAATATTGTATATCTTTCATACACGTATGTCATTTCTTTTCTATATGATAATTTTGATATAGATCACGCTTGCAATCAAATAACCCATGTAACAAATCTGAGTATGTGAAATAGTAGCAAAAGTGCCTCTTTCAAGTTTACATTTTATTTGAATATAAGAAATGCTTGTCTTGTATAATGTGATAAAATTCTTACCGTCTGTGTTTGCTTTAAAACTATCATGTGGTGCAATCGTTTTCATGTCATAGATTATATTTCTACCAGGACCCACCTCGGAGTGCATGTTTACCTTGGTTACAGCGTTCACGAACGCTAATCTCATCCCCTCGTACTCCGACCCATCTTCAAACAACGCCGCTGAAAATTAAAAAAAAAAGACACGTCATAAATGGAAAATAATATGAGCGTCATTCAAACCTTATAATTAAATACTGATCAACGTCTACATTTATTACATACGGTGGTCATAAAAAATAATAAATGAGAAAAGAAAATAAGATAACTACAGTCCATGTTGCGAAAATTATATGTGCTGATGATTTATTAACAAAAAAACATATTCGTCAAACAAAGTATTTTGTCTAGCCATCAATTTCTTGGTTAACTAGTCAATGTTCTGTGGGGGAAAATGCAGATATTTGTCATTGTCAAGAAATAAATATCCCACGAGCACACGGTAGAAAATATAACATTAAAGTAACTATAGAAACTAAAAAAAGTTAATGACCAGTTATAATGTTTCATATTGAGAATAACTTTGAAAGAACTAAGTATCATTCATCTTGACTCTGCAGCTTACTGTGCAGGTAAAAGAAATGTGAAGAAAACTTTCAATAAGAAATACTAAGTCCCTTCAACTTCGACTTACCGAAGTTATATTGTACATAAGAAACAGACAAACACATAAAAATAATGATAAAAAAAGATCAATGGCAAATATATAAAAATGCATGGCAAATTGAAAAAAGATAGTTATAACAAATCCGCACATACTGCAGACATGAAATAAGTTTTTAAATGTGCACAAAAAATGTGTAAAAATGAGAGCTCCGTGTTTTTGAAACTATTGATTTGAGTGCTACAGTTTGTGCATATCATTTTCACAACTAAGTCTTATAGAATTGCTCAATTCGGAAAAGTAGACACTTTATTCAAAATGATTTATGCATAACAACAGATTGCGTCGTTAAAGGGTCTATACAAAATTATGGTAAATATTTTTCTTCTCTTTATTAACGTAGGTTTGACAGAATCAGCCAGTATATAGATAGATAATAACATGTCTGGAGATTTTCAATATAAATGCCAGATCCCTTGCTCTTTTATCCTTCAATTAAATGAAATGTTCTATCAGCACCATTTATATAGCTGTAATACCTTAACATGAATGTACTGGTGTTATAAATGTTTTAATTATAATTCCCAGAAACCTCATTTCTCTGACGAAACATTCAGCATTTATATAGTATAGACGTGATGGGGTTTTATCCTTTTATCTATACACATACGGTTATGTTCTAGCCATAGAATATAATTCAAAGAGAAGATGTTCAGTTATTGTAATATAGCGATGTCATTTATCTTTATGAAAAATCTCTTATGCTTTTCTAAGATGACTCGTTCTGTTTAAATTGGAACCACAGAGACGATGTGTCTGTGATCTCATTGATTGCACGGCTTTTTTATTGACCACGTGATCAGATGGCGCACACACATTGAATAAAATATAGAAAGTATAGAAATCAAAGTAAAAGAAGGAAAGAAAGATGCGAGTTTACTCAGTTAAATAAATATTTCACTTGTAACGATGTATATGTAACTAAAAAAACTGGCTGGTTTTTCATCATACTTGACTCAGTACTATGCACAGTGCACGTCACGACAGTGTACATGTACGTATATTCTAGTACACCGCAGACAGTACAGTGCAGTGGAGAGATGTGAAGCGCAGTACTGAGCAGTGCAGAACAGAACATTAAAGGAGTTTGTGCACTTTATCAATTCAGACTGTAAATAAGTATCTGATGCTTTCAGAGAAAAGAAGGAAAAAAACATGAGATGTTGATACATTAGTACAAACACAATCAATACTGTGACAGTGTTACATAAAGTGGTAGCGTACTTCATGTTTATGCCAGTTTGAAAAAAAAAACACACAACAACACAGAAGTGGTTTCTTCCTCACTGTGTGTCAAACTCATTTCAATTGTAACTGTCAGATATTTTATCACATTGCTGATTTTTATTTCAATTCATTTTTAATTTATTTTTATTTTTATTTAATTGTTTTCTAATAAGAACTATTTATAGGTATAATTGATGTCAACACTCAAAATAATAATAGCGATGATGACGAAAACGACAACTTATTTGTCGTCATCGACGTAATCATCATCATCACCATCATCATCGTCGTCGTCGTCGTCATTGTCATCAGCAACAAGGAAAACATCAATAGGATTTAAAAATAATAGCGACAATATATGTACAAAGCAATAAGACTTCAGAGGAACGCCTGTTTTGTCATTTTGATAAACAATACAGTGATACCCAACTTATAGAATTATGTTTATGCCCAGGTACTACAAAATTCAGTTATTCTTCAATAGATAGAAATGTCTGCGAGAAAACTCTCAGTAATTAAAGAGCTTTATAAATTCCTAAACATTGTGTTCATGCACGTGCAAAACACATTTGTAACGCAGCGTCTCTATATGTTTTTTTTATGTGTGTGGTACATTTTGATCTTAGTAATGACGTTTCCCGTAGATTAAATACATCCTAGAAAAGATTTAGTTATTACATATAAACATTCCGTTTCTGTTTTCTATACTTAAAGTAAACCAAAACAATTTCCTGCGCCAAAATACTTATTTATTTGTGAAGCAACTCAATATGAATGAAAACATTACAAAATAAAATATATTTTATCTCTAAAGCTACATTATTCAAACAATAACATAACAGAAATGACAAATCAGAAAATTGTTGATTGTGATATTTATAAGAAGTGACATGTTCCTATAGAAACAAACTACATTTTTTTCGAGTTATTTGCGTTTTTCAATAATTGTTATTTAGACAGCTGTGCCAGATATCGTAATAGAATGCCACGTTTCTTTGAATCATCGCAAGAGATATAAAAAATGAGATTTTCTTGAAGATACAATAATCTTTGACATTCAACTTTTACATATACCCGTATTCTTTTATTGTGATTTTTGTTGGGTGACGTTGTTGTAGTTTTGTTGTTGTTGTTTTGCGTTTTTCCGCCTTGCTTTTCCTTTTGGGATTTGTGGTTGGGGTGTTGTTTTGTTGTTGTTGTTGTTTTTCTTTTCTTTTTTTTCTCTTTTTTTCTCTCTGTTTTTGCGGGGGGGGGTCTTTATTGGCAGTGACGCGTAGTCATGCTTATTTCTTGTTTGTTGTTTATGATGATACTGATCAAGGTGATGGTGGTGATGATGATGATGATGATGATGATGATGATGATGATGATGATGATGATAATCTTGTTATTATTGATGATGATAACGATGCTGTTATTTTTCATTTCCTTCTATTATATTTGATTATCAACCTGTCTGATTGTTCAAATTATTTAATTTAATCATATTCCAATCAGGCAGCGTTCAGAAACTAGTTTAAAATTGATAAAAAGAGATTTATGCATTTAACATTCCATTTTTCTTCTTAAAAAACAGCAACATGCAATTGTTGTGTAAAATTGAATTTGTTCTGTTCTTCTGTCGTTCAGCAATGACTCAATTAATGCTACACCGATATATACCATGTTCAATGTGCACTATTTGTGTAGAGAGCACCACGGGCCTTAAATAACAACATTTACGCTACAAACACTATTCTCGTATTTCAAAATCATATCAAAAGTAGTTTCAGAGTATATATTTAAAATATCTTTGAAACTACTTAAACTTCTTAATAAGATTTTGAGTACGGGAAATATATCTTAATTAATTGATACACACACATGTTTGCCGTACTCAAAAATCTGTTTAAAAGACCTTGCTGTACTGAAAAACTCTTCGACTTTCAAAATCTATACATTGAACATTTTTATATAATAATGCTGATTTGTAAGAGATTGGGATGACCTAACTAGAGGGGGGGGGGCAGTTTCGAAGTTGATATAAATACGCCCTGTATCTTAATAATAAGTTGCCTTTATTGAATGATAGCAAATAGAGGATATATAAGCGTAAAAATACACAAATCAGTTTAAAAACTAATTCTTTGTGCATGGAAACGCTAGTGTGTTTGGCACAATCTGCAAGATAGTGTTGTGTGCGCACAGAGAGTGGAGGGCTTTAACCAGTCCCTCCCAGATCACTTCTGAGCCTCCTACCCATAGAATCATACCGGAAGTGGTCCTTCTAAGTACCCGAACAGATACAGACAAGTTTTTCGGGATTTAATTGAAGAGATATTAAAATAAATATTTCACAAGTGGCGGTAGCATGGCTACGAATGAAATATGATCATTTACATAACATGGGATGAAAATAAGTCCTGTATTTATAAAATACAAAACTTTTCGGTTTATTATAATATACCTTTTCTCCTTTTGACCTTACGATTCGAAAGACTTCCCCTATATCATTTGTTTGATAGGAATTTAGAACAATGTAGTCCAGAAAGACACCAGTAAAAATAAATGTTTTCACGGAAAATATGAAAATATGTATTTTAGTTTATCAATATTTCTCAGTATTTCATTTATAGGTATATCTCAGTTAAGTTACCAACAACGAATGTCCCCTCTGACGACACTTTCATTTACAACATTACATAAAATAATCGTACTTCTAAACGGTATTTCGCACCTCTGTTAACGTGTTCGCGAGTATTTGTTAACGTTACATTTTTCAATTTAATCGCATTATCACCTCTATGTGGATTATTCAATATTACGATACAGTGTTGTGTTAGTTAGCCTGATAAAAATGTTTTTCTTACCAAAATTACATTATTTTCAATACATTAGACAAGGTGTTATGGTCCTTGGCGATATATATAAATCCTTTATAATGACGTGGTGGGAAATACACTATATGTGTGAAATAATTTAACCTTTCACTCCTTAGAGACATTGATGGGACATTCTTAATAAAAAAATCTTTATACATTTACCAATCTACAAATAGTTACTTCTATTCAAATACATTTATATATAAATGTTCATGTTTATTTTGGCGAAATTGAATTTCATGCGATAAAATAAACAAGTCTTTGGCAGTTTTATGAGATTAAAATAAGATGAATTTAACACCTAAAATAACATTTACAATTTCACTGTATAAATACACTTTCGGCAACAGCAAAAACCAAAAAAGCTGTTACTGCAGACACACGAATCCCCGCCGAGTTAAGTAATATCTGGTGGATAATATGTGCATATGTTTTCTCCAACAGAAGACCCATATCTTTATAACTTTAGCAGACATTGAAAATGTATAATTACCAGATACCTGCGATTAATTAATTCCTCGGGGTAACTGTAAACCATGCATTTTTCGAAGCTCATTTTCGTTAATGATATATTTTAGAGAAGAAGGAGATGTGTTATTCAGGTGGAAGCCACCTGAATAACTTGGCAGAGGGAACTCATTGAGACACGGTCTCCAGAAATCATTCATTACTTCCAAATACTTTCCCAAAACTTTGTCCGCAAGTGACCTCTAAAGTGATGTATCTCATATGTAACTGGTATAAAAATAACTCTTAAGTTTAGTTTTCTACGTACATAATTATATTATATATGTTCGTATTTTTCTATGTTGTTGTTGTTGTTGTTGTAAGAAGGTGTACTTATCGTATAATTATGATGCATATCATTATCAATCATATAAAATATTTCTTTTGACCATTATCTTATTATGTTACCATTACAAAAATTGACGATAAAATTTGGATCATTTTTTTATGAATTGGAAAGTGAAAGGTGTCCGTTCAAAAGCAAAAATAAATAAACGTATTATCCTTTCAACCAATTAATATCAAAGGATTATTATAGGTATTTCTTGTTAGAATATGTGGTTTAATAATATTTATAATGTACATTGCACTTATTTAAAATAAGTAAAGACAAATGTGGAAAAATATGATACGTAATTATATTCAAATAGTGATCCTAAAATGTGAAACAAGATCATGTGAATATGTGAATAATTTTAAAAAAAAATGATCTGATAAAAAAGCAACAAAAGTCAAAACAAACAAAAACAAAACGGATAAAATTTGTGGACAACCCCTGTTGCGTCTTTAATTAAAACTAAAACCTACAACAGACATCGGGTTTATTTTAACAGAAACCAGACATTTTCTGGCTGATTTACTTTAATTTAAAATATTTCATTTTGCACATTATCACTTGTGAATCTATTTCTTCGCGTTTTTTGAGAAATGTAAGAATGCACGGATGCACGAAAAGCATCACGCAAAACGTCGATTTAATAGTTTGCACAGACGGTATTCATCGTCTTTTAGTTACGTTACCGACGTACGACGGAAAGATCTAAAATGTAACGACTGCCTAGCAATATTTTATTAATTGTTACATTTGAATTAAAATTTGTAATAGTTTTTATTATAATTACGAGAAAGCATATGAAATGCGAGTTTAAATCTGCATATCAAGATTTTAAAGAGAGTTAGGGTAAATACAAACTGTGTTATAAAATTCTGATCAATTAATGTTTCAATATTTAGTTTTATACCCGGGACTAAAACATTAGAAAACCCATTTAAGCTGAATATCTGCATATAATATATTAACACTTAATGTGAAACAGAGTATAAACTATTTTGTATGCGCTATATTGGTATTATCGTTTACCAATACTTTTAAGGATTATTGTGTTACTTGGCATGTTATGATTTACTTTACTTTTTAAAAGTAATAAAAGGTAAAGGTATGGTGCGGAAATATATATCACGTATTTAAATGTCTAGGAATCATAATGTCAGTATAACAAATGTCAGGGTCAAGGTATCAGAAAATCGGGGTATCACATTAGCATGGTATCTCATTGTCAGTGTATCACACTAGCATGGTATCTCATTGTCAGTGTATCACACTAGCACGGTATCTCATTGTCAGTGTATCACACTAGCATGGTATCTCATTGTCAGTGTATCACATTAGCATGGTATCTCATTGTCAGTGCATCACACTAGCACGGTATCTCATTGTCAGTGTATCACATTAGCACGGTATCTCATTGTCAGTGTATCACATTAGCACGGTATCTCATTGTCAGTGTATCACACTAGCATGGTATCTCATTGTCAGTGTATCACACTAGCACGGTATCTCATTGTCAGTGTATCACATTAGCACGGTATCTCATTGTCAGTGTATCACACTAGCATGGTATCTCATTGTCAGTGTATCACATTAGCATGGTATCTCATTGTCAGTGCATCACACTAGCACGGTATCTCATTGTCAGTGTATCACATTAGCACGGTATCTCATTGTCAGTGTATCACATTAGCACGGTATCTCATTGTCAGTGTATCACACTAGCATGGTATCTCATTGTCAGTGTATCACACTAGCACGGTATCTCATTGTCAGTGTATCACATTAGCACGGTATCTCATTGTCAGTGTATCACATTAGCATGGTATCTCATTGTCAGTGTATCACAATGCAAGTATATTAGAATGTCAAGATATCACAATGTCAGGAATGTGAAGATGTGAGAAATTCGGGAATCAGAATGTCATTATATAAGAATATCTGTTTTAGATACTGAATCACATTTCAATTAAGTAATTTAAGTTATCGTATTAATTTTTTGAAAACTTTATTTGTTTCTTGATTCTTATTCTAATTCATCAAATTTAAATACAAAGAACAGGCATACTGGGAACAAACGAAGCAAAAATTTTTTTCCTAAATATTATCAATTATATCGTTTATCTATAGATTTGACTTATATTCATACAATTTCAAAACTTTTACAGCTTTAAAAGGAACTAAGTTATCAAAATTAATACCACCCACTCATGTTTATCAATTAAAGTGTCCTTACCAACTCTGAAAAGGTCTGACTGACCATACGACGTACGTATATTCCATAAAATAAATATAAAAGCATATATCCTTTGTAAATAATCCATACTTTAGGGAATTTCACTTCGTTATTTCACTGTAGAATATCTAACAACACTCTGAAGCAAATAATTTCTCTTTTCCTATCATTTATATCTTTATTTCCTGTTGCAGTACTTGTAAAAACATCAGGAGCACACGCGCTTTGACATTATCATCTCTCTACAATCAGTGAAAATTTCCATCTAAGAATCCAATAAAAATGTTAAGACAAAATAAAAACAATGCACTAATATTGAGTTTTACTTGAGAAAACGGCCACAGATGTTCGGTATGGTATACACCGGCAAATTTTATTTATATCACGGAGCGTTTTACAATATATCCAATAAATGAACATCTAATAAACGTTATGGAACGGATTCAGTGTGACAGCTATGTTATTTGGCAGTTATTTTACAGCGTAACAATACATCGAATAACGAACTTTCTATGTACAGACAGCCATATTAAACGTCAAAATAGTTTTACGTTATAATTTTAGCACAAGATTATTTAAATCCACATAAGAAGTATTAAGCACACTCCAGTTTAGAAAGAATACAACCGTCCTGTTTTTGTAATATCATAAATTAAAGATATAATCACTTTTCCGTGTTTTAATTTTCAGAGGAGAATTTCACATCTGTACGCTATAGTAGCGGGAATATTATATAATGCTGGTTCGATTTACATGTTCCAGGTACAAGTAATCTCTTTACAGGAAAAGCAGGTTGCCTGTGGGGATAGTATAAATATCTAAGTTTTCATAGTAAATCTCTTGCACTCGTGGTACTTGTATATAAATCATGGTAGAATCTGATTGTTTATTATTGGGAAATGTTTAATGTACATAATTATATACAATTAGTTAAATTTTGGGGTCATTGCCACAAAAAATTGAAAGGACGTTTGTTTTAACCGAAACATAAACAATAAAAAATGGTTGAAATAATTGCGTTCATAACACAAACTTGGTTTAAACCACAATCCAAAAATGAAAACTGACAGGTAAAAAGCATACAAAACAGTAAGAAAAAACCTTTTAGAAAGAAATCTCAGTAAATTCACATATAAATGTAAAAAACATAGTTTTAAACCACACGCAACCCTACCCCCAAAATTTGTCATAAAAAATATATAATGCACTGACAAATGTCGAAGGATGCAAATTAAAAAAAAAGAGAAGAAATAAATAAGAATACGTATAAAGGAACTGCTGCATTTTGTGATATAAATACTAAATGTGACATTTTAAGGTTTATCCAGTATCTGTATATAGCACTTATGTTATTACTTGTCAAATTTTGATTAAATTCAGGACCTTCATTGGTATTTTTGTAACCTGGGGTCAAACGATTTAAAAGGGTAAATAAAGATATATTATGCTAATGAACGGTTAATCGATTTGTGTTTACTTAATTGAAATTTGATCGTGAACATTTTATGTGGTTATTGTCGCAGGATGTATGCGTAAGTCATTATCTGTACTGCGATGTGTTTATTCTAAAGAAATGAGATTTATTTTGAAATGATGACCGCAACTTTATATGCTTGAAAATTTTAAACATTGACATGCTGAAACCGAGATAATTTCGGTACTCTTATATTTAAACGAATGTTTGACACATCTGAAACACTCCTTTGTATAATGTCATATAGTTAAAATAGCCTTTTCAATTTATTTAATTCATTTACGTTGATTAACTTTGGGTATCATGTCATTTTATTCGTTAATGGAAGAAATTGTCCCCATTTTGTTATATCACAGACATCTGTAACAGTGATAGATTCATTGATGGTATAATAAATTCACATAAAACATATAACGTAATGTACTTATTGTGGAAAATAAATATGTATACCTGAACAAAAGGTAAAACTTTTCTTTTTTTTTTTTTTAGAAAAGATGAAATTCAGGCTGTGTCTGCTCATTCTGTTAAACATATCAATACTTCGTACACATGTATTCAAAAGCATAAGGACAATATTTACAGTAAATCAGCTGGATTTTTTTAATGAACATTACCGTCTCCCAGCGTTATTAACTATTTCCTTGGGGTACTTTTCTCTTTCTTTCATAATTTGACGTTTTTGATGAGGTGAAATTACGTTTTTCATCACGTGAGCCGTGCCTGCTTACGACAGCAGGAATGTTTTCTAGTAACAATATCAGATAAACGTTTTCTTGTAATAGTCTTATTTCAAAAATTTTAAATCATTATAATAGCTTTCCTGCCAGATTACAAACAAGATCTTGTACATAAATATCACGTTAATTTATCATTCTAAACATAAATTGTGTGTAAATGCACTAAACTTTCCGATTTCCTGTATACAGAATTAAGATTTAGTTTTCATTTATCACAATTTATTTCACATTTCCGATCTCAGATGTTTGTAAAGTTGTAAAGTTTGAAAGAGAAATTTCTCAAATTATGTCTATCTATAAACTGAACGTTTGAACATGAAAACTTATATAGACTGATTGTATTCGAAGGTTTTTATTCTTTATGGTATATAAATTAACATTCTATACGTTGACACAGGGGAAGTACGAGAATAAAAGTTAAATAGTAACGATGAAAGGGGAGCGTTAGCCTAGCGGTTAAGATATCTGCCTCTCAACCCCAGGGATCATGGACTCGAACCTTAATCATGGTCATGGCCATGTTTCTCTATATGACACCAGTACTGGTTGGTTCCATGAAATGGACTAGAAAATGATAAATATAAGTTGCAAAAATTAGTTTTGCAATCGACTAAAAACATTTTAGTCATTAGAGCTCAAAGAATCTGCCAATAGCAGTTTATAATCTATGTAACAGATAGAAGAATCAATGATGTCGGCCCGTTTACTTAAAACGAAAATGAACGGTCATTATATATGTATAAATTCAGCATATATTTGCCACTATGCATGTTATATTTCACTAACGTTATTTTCTGACTAGTAGACTAAAAGACTATAATATAATTCTTCTCACCAACTCTAAAATGATCTGTCTGCCCGGATATTAGAGGCATATTCCACACTGTAGACATCAAAAGGTAAATCATTAAGTAAAAATCCATGTTTTCTCATACACTAAGTTCTAATTGATATATTTTAAGCCAGTTTACAGAGTCATTTTATAATGTACTTTGAATATCTCATCAAAATCCAAAGCTAAATATCTTTAACGTTTCAGAGTATAATTACCCATAACAAAGTCACGACATCACAAATCAATGATACAAGTATAAATGTGCATTATATTTTATGAACACCAAAGACTTAAATTATTTCTTCAAACAGTTACTGTAAGGTAATATTCCCTACACACAATTAAACTTGTGGAACAAATGCATTGTGACAGCAATATAGCTTTACATGATATTTCAGAAGGCAAGTACTTGTTTATGAATGAGATTAACCTGTCTCAACATATAGGTAGGTAAACTACTTATAATGTCAGAAAACCTAAGCTTAATTTTTTAGCGCAAGGCCGAGCTAATCCGTCTTTTGTAGACTAATAAATCATTGTTTATACATAGAGCAGATTTATGTATACACGCAATATTCCGTGTTAAGAAATTAGACAGCTCATGTTTTATCTTCTACTACTAGTTAACATTATCAGTACTTTGATAGAATGAAGTGGTCACAATTACAGGATGCCAGCGGGCATGTTATATAAACACAATTCCATTTACATGTTCCACAGTCCAGAATCTTTTGCTGGTGGGGAATAATAAGATATTTATACATATCTATAAAGCGTATTAGAAAAAAAACAATAAAGTTAAATACTAACTGCTAGCGCAAAAAATAAATAAATAGAAAATAACGTAGGTCACAGTAAAATGCAATATTGTTAATAAAATGCAATATTGTAAGGTGTAAATTAAACTGTTGATCAACGAAAGCATAAATGAAGGTAGGTATATATAGTAAAGGAATAAATAGTCTAAAAGCCTAAACTTGAAATACAGTTCCCCCGGTTTATTATAAACAGCCCGAGTCTTGAGGTAGTCCGGTAAATCAGATTTATGTTTCATTTAAATTTAGCAATCTCCGAAAAAACTTCTACGTAAAGAATATCGTATCGCTCAGGATGTGGATGAAATTCGTTGACTAGATCATGATTCGTGCATTGTTCAATAGTTCCAATAATTCATGTAACAAAAGTTCAAATAAAATAAGCATATGTAACGAGTTATGTTGTAGCGGAAAAAAGAAAATAATTTTGAATTGATTCTTATGCTAAAAATATTAGACGGTTTGCAAGATGATAGGGGACATAATCCCCTTCGGACAAAATCCCCTTCATGTATTTTTGTATATCTGGACATAATCCCCTCCATGGGTGGACATAATCCCCTTCATGTGTGAAATTCTGAAGTGGACAAAATCCCCTTCATAAAATTGCTACCTAGGACAAAATCCCCCTCGGAGGAATTTTTGGATTATATAGTGGGTATGAGAGCAACATACTGCATTATGCTGTGTGTGTGGTAAATATCTTAATGTATAAAAAAGTAGAAAATATTTCAGCAGAAAAGCACATTCAATTAGCACATTTTTTTAAAATTGCTTTATTAAAGCATTCATAACAATCAATCAATCAAGTAGTGCAGTGATCTTGGTTTGATTAAATTTCATCAATAGAAATTTTAACAATGGATAGTATATATCAATTAGAATTATCAACTTATACAATTAATGAAACAATTATTGGCTAATAAAAATGTTTTTCATACTTATCAATTTAAAACAATTAAAGAATTGCCTAATCAAAAAATGTGTTATGCAGTTGATAATTTACCATAATTTTAATGAAAACATCTAAACTAAATAAAGGTTAACTATTGATACATAATGATAAATAAAAAAACAAAAGTTCATTATTCATCAATTTTTAGGGAGTAATTAATAATACATTATTCATCAATTTTTATGGAGCATAATAATACATTAGAAACCTATGAAACAAGGGGATTTTGTCCGGGTAGTGAAGGGGATTTTGTCCGGCCTTGCAAAAGATTGAAGGGGATTATGTCCATCCATGAAGGGGATTTTGTCCGGGTAGGTGAAGGGGATTTTGTCCGAAGGGGATTATGTCTGACATTCTATATCTAACGTTTTCAAAAACAAAAACGATAACGCGTTATTTGCTATAACATATTATGTATGCAAAGGAATGGTGCTCATATCTTTCTGTTATATAACTGAAACTCAAATTAACACCACAATAAGTCGTGTATTTACAGAACCAGAAAAGAAAATGTTCTATTATACACAGAAGGCGTAAATACCCAAGTGTCACAAGTCTTTGTAATACACAAATCAAAAGGTAGGGGAGTATTTCTGCTATAGGGCAATTTTGTTTGATATAATCTTTATCTTTTGATAGTTTGAGAAAAGCTACTTTTTAATGTAAACATTGCTTTCATGTTTAACAGAAGAGAACTTAAAAAGAAATTGAAATATATTATGATGTGTTAAAAGATGTTATTATCATGGGGTATTACGTTTAAATGTGATAAACATGTTAACTGAAAGAGGGGCAAAGAAATATCATTTATATTACGTGTATATTGTAAACAGCTTACAGAATAGATATTACAAAATAGTTACATTTTAAATGATGATTTAAAGGGTCATGTACCAAGATTTATAGTATAGTTTTGCAAAAAAGAAAGAGGTAAGT